TATCTATCTATCTATCTATCTATCTATCTATCTATCTATCTATCTATCTATCTATCTATCTATCTATCTATCTATCTATCTATCTAAAGGAATAGCTGAAAAATGCAGAAATATGCTGATGAAAAGCAAAAGGATTAGAAACTGAAAGGGGCAAAAACGTTTAGAGGGCAGAAAGAAAGTGAAAGGAACAAAAGAAAAGTTTAAGTTAGCAGAAGAATAGTGAAAAAGTTCAGAACGATAGCTAAAAAGACAGAAAGACGCTAAAATCAGCAAAACAGAAGCTGAAATTAGCACAAAGAAGTATTAAAAAGCAGAAGCAGAACAAATGTAAAGGTTTATGAGCATTTTGAAGGGTTTTTGAGGATGCTGAAGACAGCTCCATTTATTTTCAATGAGAAAAAAAGGCCAAAAGAGCTAAAAAATGCCAAAAGTATAAATAGCTGAAAAAGTAATAACTGGAATGTACTGACGGAGCTGAATGTTTTGATAAATAAGTAGTTGAAATATCACAAAAACTGCTGAACAAGATGCTTGATAAGCATTCACGCAATTAGAGATTAAGTTAATCTGTAACAGTTTGAATAGCAGCAGCAGCAGCAACTATCTGTATCGACTGCTTTAACAAATGCATGTCATGTTTTGTCTGTTTTTGCAAATCAAACAGAGCAACCTCAAGTTCTTGCTGGCTGAAAACCACTTCTGTACCCCCTCCAGGGAGGATTACACCACCGAACCTTTGACCCCGCAGCATCACTCCTGCTCTCATCGCTCACCAAAACAATTTAACATGCTCAACTCTGTTTTCTCGCGCAGTTCCTAAAAAATGTAATAAGCAACTTTATTATTCAAATACAGATTTAATGAGTGATGCACCGTTTATTTTTACAGATTAGAAGATCGTGGTTGTCAGCTCCTGAAGCTCTGAGTCGACGCTGATGTTTAGTTGAGAACTTTAAAACACACAATGTGGAGACAAAGATTTTGTAACTGACTCCTTTATGTAAAWCATGTTCAGATGTTCTTAGAGGCCTCTGTAAAACAACAACAACCGTTGGGTTTTTAGACACACTTCAACCTTTAACCCCAATCTTCTGGTGTTATGTTTTAAAGTCTGCAGCGTGTGCATACTAATGTCTCTCTTCCACTGAAGTGCAGACAAATTCTCCTAACCTGACAGAGCTTGATGAATAAACCTTTTCCAGGAACGGTGCGGCGTGAAGCGTCGGCACGGGGTTAGCTGGTTTAAACATAAACCTCKAGACCTCTGTTCTAGAAGAATGAGAAGAAACAGCTCTGTTTAATTTAAATGTTTCACATTCAGGCCGTCYGAACAAACTGAACCCAGAAGGTTACTGAATGTTTTGACTCTCCTGCCCTCCTGACCGGCTGTCCCACTTCCACCTTGTTTACACTGTCAACGCCGACGKCGGTGAAGGTTACCGTGTGTGTTGCAGAAACACTCTTGTTCCCTGCTTTAAGGGTGACTAACTACTCATAAAAAAAACCCAACTGTGTTGTAGCAATAACTCAGGTTTGACACTGAGATGTAGGCTCTGTGCGCAGATCTGAGTGTGCAGTTTATCCACCTGTTGAGAAAGCAGCTCCAGGTGTGTTCCACAGTCTCTAAAAATACTGGTTATAGATTACTTATTTGAGAAAAAGGAGCAGAAATCATAATATTTTTTTCTTCTTCTGCTACCTTTCATTTAATTTATAATTTGTATTTTTATTGTATATTGAATTTATGTTGTTTTGTTTTAAACGAAAAAAACTTTGTAAATTAAAGGACATTCTGCTTTGACCTGAGGTGCAAGTTTGTCTATGTGGGCCTGTGATGGACTGGAGGTCTCTTAGATCTTGTGGATGGATGGATGGATGGATGGATGGATGGATGGATGGATGGATGGATGGATGGAAAGATAGATGGCTGGTTGGATGGCTGGCTGGAGGATGATGGATGGTGGATGGATGGATGGTAGAAGAATTGATGGGTGAATAGATGATGGACGGATGGTGGATGATGGATGGATGGATGATGGATAGATGGACAGACAGACGGACGGATGGCTGGCTGGATGGATGATGGATGGACGAATGGTGGATGAATGGCTGGCTGGATGGATGGA